ACCGGCTCGCCGCGACCCCCACTCCAGCCCCTCCCCTTCCCCTTCCCCGCCCGCCTCCGCCCCCATTCTTGGAATTGTGTGGAAAAATTCTCAGCCAAACCTCCCACCTCTCCTCTTCCCCCACCCCGCCCCACTCCCCACGCCCTTTAAAAAGCCCCCTTTCCTCCCCGGCCCCTGCACTCTTTGTGAATGAGGGCAGGGAACACGGCCCTTCCCCCGCCCAGGAGCCACGCCAGACCGCCGCACTCAGAGGACTGTTTGTTAATAGTCCAATTAGATAATTGCCATCTTTCACTCCTTTTGCTCCGCATTTCCCATAAAGGAATGAATGGGGAGAGCGGCGTGGAGAGGGCTTCTGCCCCGGCAAGGTGACGAGAAGGGCTGGTGCATGCTCCTTGCACAAGGCCATGCGCTTGAATTGAATCATTGTGGCCTAATCAATGCTCTTATTGGATTACTGGCTGTTGCTTTTCTCAAAGATATTGTAGCAGAGACAATGAAATAGCAAGGGGAAAACTTTTTTTTTTTAAGCAGATCTCACAGTTCAGATTTTCTCGGCTCTCTCTCCCTCTCCCCCTCTCTCTCCTGCTGGACTCTCTGAGTACAAAGCTGCCCTTTGAATGGGCTGCCTCAGGGCTGCTGGAGGTGCAGGCATGAAAAAATCCAACTGGAACTAAATGAAGAGAGGTGGCAGTTTAAGATGGCTGTCAGCGTCGAGGTGTGTTAAGGAGTGTTTGGGACGAAAGCTTGGCTTTTTAGAGGGTGAGGGAAGTACTTTTGGGGAAAACTTTTTCTCCACCCCCCCCTTTTTTTCCCCTCCTAGAGGCGACTGCTTTCTTCTGCCGCAGGGTGTGTAAGGGTTTTTGTTTTTTGTTTTTCTTCCCCCCTCCATCCTCATTCAGCTCTATCTGTCGAGTGTGGAGAAAACCCCTCTAGCCAGTGTGTGAGCAGGAGGGTCAAAGGCAAAGGGAAAGTTAATAATGCCTGCTAACGGTACTAACAATTCAGGATGAATCTTGTCAAAAGTTTTTCTGGAAGTGTGGGTCTTTGATTGTGTGTTTCCTGAAAGCAAGACCAATCATTTCCGTTTATTCACTGGCTAAACCCCTACTTGATTGGGGACAAGGACAGAAACCATCCATTACGGTCTGATATATTATCCAAACAATTTAGTGTATTCATGAGGTAGCCAAAACGTGGAGGCTGCGAAATTACCCGTAATCAATTGCAACAGCGAGTGTGCGTCCTCCCGGGTGTCGGACAACTGCTACTCGCAGTCTCAGTAATAGGCGGGAGCCGCAGCAATTCGGAGTTGCGCTGCTCGCTACCTGATCGCCAGGCTGGGGACAGTGGACGTGCTCAGAGGACGCGGGCGCTGACGAGGCGGCTTCGCCGCTGCTCCACCGGGATCCTCGACCAGACCCGCCGCCTCTCCGCGAGCGCGCCACTCGGCGGTCGCCGCTGACCTGCCCGCGGCCGCCGCAGCCGCCCCGCGGGGACATTCATTCTTGCCGCTTGCCTCTCTCCGGACCGAGCGTAGGGGCTGCATTGTAGCGGTTTTGTCTCCCGTCTGCTTTTTTTTTCTCCTCCCCCCACCCCCCCTTTTTTTTTTTGTTTCTCTTGCCTCTCCTATGTTCGGGAAGCGAGACAAAATGGACGTTCGGTGCCACTCGGACGCAGAGGCTGCCCGGGTCTCGAAGAACGCGCACAAGGAGAGCCGGGAGAGCAAGGGCGCGGAGGGGAGCCTCCCTGCCGCCTTCCTCAAGGAACCGCAGGGCGCCTTCTCTGCGTCGGGCGCCGCGGAAGATTGTAACAAAAGTAAATCCAATTCAACCGCGGATCCGGATTACTGCCGCCGGATCCTGGTCCGAGGTAAGAATGGGGCAGGGCTGCGGGGGGCGTTCTTTAGGGGCGACTCAGGGGCTCGAGCTGCGCGCCGCCACTGACCCCGGCAGGCCGGGTGGGTTTGCCTCCTGGGACTTAGGTAGAAAGTTGCTGGCCCTCCCCGTCCCGGGTGCGGCCAGCCGCTGGGGATTCCCACCTGGGACGCGCGCTCTCCAGGAGCTTCGATCCCTTCAAGCCTCGAGAGGCCCCGCCGGTTTGGCTGCTGGGGTAGCCGAGGGACTCTGCGGGAGGGCCCAGGATCCAGGCTGCGGCCTCCGACCCGGGAAAGAAGCCGCAAACTCTGGAGGACCTGTTAGCATCCTGCGGACCGGAGGACCTGCGGGGAGCCCGCTCGCGGGCTCCCGCACCTTGGCGAGTTGAGCGCGTCCGAGGGGGCCGCGGGCGCTGGAGAACAGTAGCGGACCGCCGGCCACGGCCAGGCCAGTTGGCGCGCTGGGCCAAGGGGCCCGGCGCCGCGCTCGGGCCTGGCCGCCAACGCTGGGAGAAGCAGCCAGGCTGGGTTGCCAGGCCGCGGATGTCGCTTTAGTGCTGGCCTCGACCCCGCTCTACTGCGCGGCGTGCGGTCGGCTCCGGCCGTGGCGGTGGTGAGGCCCGGCCCCGGCCCGGCGCCGCCCCCGCCAACTGATCGCCAGGCCCTGCCGGCTCCGACTCGGTCCCTCCTCCTTCCGCCGCCCTGGTTCGGGAGGGAAGGAGACCTCGGGATGGGGGTGGGAACCGCCGGAGTGCGGTCTGGTCAACATGCTCCAGAGCTGGGGCCGGCAGGATCTGAGCTGGTCAGTGCGAGGACCCTCAAGCTACAGGGGACCCAGTCCACGCAGCCGAGGCCCCCAGACCAAAAGGAACGTCAGCCGATTTGGAATTGATTTTTTCTTTCTCCCTTGTTCGGAGGGCTCTACAAAGGCCAAGTCCGATTCCCCTTCCCATCAGCTGTGTGGAGTTAGTCCCCCCACCACCCCCCAAGCACATACAGCGTCCTTGCTCCCCGGCTGTGGCTGCAGGCCCACCAGCCCGACTTCCCACCTCCGGACTGCTGGCTGCTGGTGACTGTGTCCCAGAAGCCAGCTCGGGCCAGGGGAGGTGGAGGAAGGCAGGAGGGTTCTTGTGCCTGATTATCTCCCCTTCCCCAGATGCCAAGGGGTCCATCCGAGAGATCATCCTGCCCAAGGGCCTGGACCTGGATCGGCCCAAGAGGACGCGCACTTCCTTCACCGCGGAGCAGCTCTACCGGCTGGAGATGGAGTTCCAGCGCTGCCAGTACGTGGTGGGCCGGGAGAGAACCGAGCTCGCTCGGCAGCTCAACCTCTCAGAGACCCAGGTACTCAGCGGCCGGGCTGCACACAGCTCAGCATCAGTCTCCTGCCCCTTCACCCCAGCCAGCTCTTCCTCACCACCTAGCTTGACTCTGGATAGAGCTTCCCAGGTGAGGCAGAGAAGATAAGGAGGATGGGGAAGAAAGGGCGAAGGCTTTCTCCCTTTCCTAAGCCATCCCTTTCCCCCTCCACCCCAAATCTTCCTGGCCTCTAGCCCAGGAGGCCCCAAATCCTATCCTTTTGGATTTCTTTTTGGACCCCAGTCTTGAGAATTCCCTGCTTGTCTCTGCTCTTGGAGGAACCAATGTTTGCCCCTGTTTTGGTCACGTTTTGGCCAGATTTCCAGGCACACCCCCTCTGGAGACCCTAGCCTTACACAGCACCCAGGCCCATTTAGCAAGAATGGGGCTAGGGCCAAAGCCCCCTGTTCCAGAGCGTGGGTGACAACTAGGGATCAAAAAGTTGCATATTCCAGAGATCTGCCTTTGCAGACCAGGCTGCCCCAATGCTTAAGGCTTTCCCTGGTCTTGAGCTGGACTCAGCCCCATTCCCAGCCCTGAGCACCCACTGTGGGCACCTAGGAGACCCTGTCTTAAGTGCCAGTGATGTGTGAGGTATGGGATGGGAAGCAGATCTGGGGCCTTGGGAGCCAGCACTGACAATTGTACTTGAGGTCTTCTCCTTTACATGAAATCCATATGATGCTACCGGGGCTGACCGCGTGAACTCTGGGCCCAGGAGCACTTTACGGCCTGAGAGCTTTGTGTTGTAGGGATCATTTAGGGCCTCCCCAGGGCATGGTACCAGCTTGGCCTACGAAAGGCATATTTCTTTCTGAGGACCAGTCCCTTGACCTGTGCCCAGCCCTGAAGTGGGTGGGGAGCATTTTAGGTATGGGATCTGGGCAGAAAGCTGAGAACCAAGGACAGAACATACTGGATGTTCGAATTTGAGTTGGCATGGTAGCTTTTTCCCTATTCTCTCTGCCACCATCCCTCTTAGTTTACAAAATCTAGACAGAATAACCTTTCCCTAGAGCTGCCAAACTCCATTCTGGGCCACCAGCTAGGCCTGAAGAGGGGCAAAGGGAGAACAGGAAGTAAGAGGGGAGGTTGACGGAGAGAATTTAGTCCACTCCAGCCTACTGACTTCCTCCCATGACTCCAAAGTTCATGATGGAGAGCAGCTGAGTTATAAATTAAGGGTATCACTCAGACCTTTCGATCCACCTGGTGGTGAGGAAGCTTGGCCTATAAAGTTCATCCTGCACCAATTATTCAGTCTATAGCCTGCTTGCTGCTAGTAGATAGTCAATCTGACCCTAACAAGCAGGAAGTAGCCTCTCGTAGCCTTCAACAGGAGTAGTGCTCTGGGGCTAAATTCGAGCCACTTGGGCCACTCTCCTCCCCATTCACCCTCACTTCCCACTTCCCGAACTGCATCCTTTAGGCCTTACACCTTCTCCTGGAAACGCGGGCTTTTATGCAGCACTGATCCATAGTCCCGCTGCAGGCAGTGCGGCAGCCCAGTGAAATAACTTCTGGTCTTCCTTCCAGTTAGGGTCGTGGACATTTTTATTTCTTTGTTATTTGTAACCCAGGCTGGCCTAGGCCTGCTTCCATGACCCGGAAGCCCTGCGTATGGGAGCTGTGTCCCCCTCTTGGCGGCCCTGACTTCCCGCCCCGCCCACCCGCCCCGCAGCTCCCGGCCCTACTTCGGGCTGGGACTGGGACTGGGGCTTTGGCTGGAGTTGGGGGAGGGCCCCCTGGAGCCCTCGCGCTCCGGGAGCCCGCTCCCCTTGACGCCCGTCTCCCTCTGTCCCTCTCTCCCACCCTCCCTGCGCCCGGCGCGCAGGTGAAGGTCTGGTTCCAGAACCGGCGCACGAAGCAGAAGAAGGACCAAGGCAAGGACTCGGAGCTGCGCTCGGTGGTGTCGGAGACGGCGGCCACGTGCAGCGTGCTGCGGCTGCTGGAGCAGGGCCGCCTGCTGTCGCCGCCCGGCCTGCCTGCGCTGCTGCCGCCATGCGCCACAGGCGCAATCGGCTCGGCGCTACGCGGGCCCAACCTGCCGGCCCTGGGCGCGGGCTCTGCCGCGGGCTCGGCAGCCGCCGCCGCCCCGGGTCCCGCAGGCGCCGCGTCCCCGCACCCGCCGGCCGTGGGAGGCGCTCCGGGCACCGGGCCCACTGGGCCAGGGGGACTGCACGCGGGCGCACCGGCCGCCGGCCACGGCCTCTTCAGCCTGCCCGTGCCCTCGCTGCTCGGATCCGTCGCCAGCCGCCTTTCCTCCGCCCCGTTGACAATGGCCGGTTCGCTGGCCGGGAATTTGCAAGAACTCTCCGCCCGATACCTGAGCTCCTCGGCCTTCGAGCCTTACTCCCGGACCAACAATAAAGAAGGGGCCGAGAAAAAAGCGCTGGACTGATCTTAAGTGTTTTCCTGTATTTATATTTATAGTATCTATCGTGATGATATTTATGGATTCCCGCGCATTAGGCACCCGGGGCCCCTGCGATGGGCTCCCGGCTCCCAAGAGGCCTCTGACAGCTCTCCTTCCCCACCAGGCTCTGCTACCAATATTACCCCATTGGGGCTATTTTTTCCCCCTACCGTTCCTCTGTGTCCTCCCACACCCACCCTTCGCCCCCAACTTCCTTCTGAATCCAGGAGAATCCAAAGAATTGAGGGGAAAGCCCGAGTTAGCCAACCTGATGCCCCAACCAGTGCCTGGCCCTGGAGGGTAAAGTCTGGTTCTAAGTCCAGAGCACAGGACATCTGCTCTAGATCGAGCCACTGCTGCCGTTGATTATTCTTATGGATATCTGAAAAAGGAAGCTGCGAGCAGACCCCAGCTGAAAAGGCTGACAGATTTCATTAGACCAAAAAGGAGGACGTTCCTTCCTCTCGCCAGAGAAGCCCCTGGGCCCCACTTTGCGGACTTCTCGAGAGAGCCGGTGCACACGCAGCTTCCTGGCTGGACAAATCCTGCCGAATTTTCTCCCCTTTAAAGAAACTCCAATCACAACCACCCCCGACCCCAGGAGACAATAAACCAAACATCGTGATGGGCAGCGGCGGTAATAAATTTGATCTCATCAGCAATAAAAGGAGAGTAAGAACTACCACAAAACCAAATGGAGTAGAACCAGTTTTTAAATACTCATAACGATGGAGTTTAGAAGGCGTAAGAAAATGCAGGATACAAAATGCGTCCCAGGGCAATACAAAATTAAAGTTCTGGGTGTAATGACTTAAAACAGGAATTTAAAAGGGAAAAGCAAAAGAAAAGCCTATGCTGCTAAATGAAGGAAAATTCAGAATCTTTTCCGAGGCTGCGCCGGGAGGTGGCCGACAGCTTCACGCTCCTCCAGGAGAGAGAGCTGTGCAGCTGGCGGCAGCTCCCGGACGCTGGCGCTTCTCCCCACCGTCTCCCTTGTTCCCGGACCCGTGGCTCCGGGCAGAGTTGCTAGGTTTGGAAACAGATCAGTGCCCATTGCCTCCTCTCGTCCTCTCCCCGGATTCACAAAACCCTCCCAGCACGCAGGAAACGTCCCGATTTCAGAGTTCTTTGCGGACGGGAGGCAGGGACGCAGCCGGGGACATCAGGGCGGCCCGGCCTCCTCTGTCGGTAGTCTCCATATCCCGATCAGTTCCCTGCGTGGATATGAAAGGCATCCCTCTCCACCGCCTCCCCTAAAACACCCCCAGGGTTTCGACGGTCCCAAGTCAGAAACCCGGACTGCGACGCTGTCGCGGCCTCACGCCCTAACCGCACAGCCACGGCCACCCGCATTTTAACCAAAACCACAGACCCAGACAGCGAGGTGCCGCAGTGTCTAGAATGTATTCCTCCATCCGAAGCGAGCGCAGAGCATTTTAAAAATAGTAATTTTATTGTAAATTATTTACGTCAGAAGCTTTTTTTCCTTTTTTCTTTTCTTTTCTGTCTCTCTTTTTTTTCCGTCTCTCTTTTTTTTCCTTAGGCAAATAGTGAAGAAAATAATGAACGATTCAAACGCGGGTAGGTGTCACTGAATCCTGGCTACTAACTTTGTTCTGAATGTTTTGGATATTTGGATGTTTTGTATTTATGTGGTGAGAGTGAAATATATATATCTATGATGATAAATGAGGTGTATTTTTGTCTTGTATTTGAAGGATTAAAAAAACAAAAAAGAAGAAGAAAGAAGAGCCAGCAAGTGATGAGTCTCCGAGTGGGGACTCCTGAGGCAGAGGGTGGCAGCCCCGGCAGTGCCGGGCCCTGCCACTGGTACCGAGAGCGCTTGGGATGAGGTTTGGGGAGGGTTTCAGTCCGGGAGACAGAGGCGCCTGCTGACGATGTTTGTTCTGCTTCCTTTCACTCTCTGGCTCTCTGTCCCAGCGGTGTCGGACCATCAGGCCCTCCCTCCTAGATCTCCCACTTGGTGTTTCTTGGTTTATTTAGGAATTTGTCTCCGGAAACCCTAGAGCTCCTGCCTAATAACGCCCCCAGCTTCTAGAGTTTTCCAGCCACAATCTCCACGCCGGCAGTATTTTGGATTTGTGCAATCACAGGGCCCAGAACAGGGAAGCTTTTCCTTTCTTCTGACTTATAATAAGTCTCTTCGCTGTCAAAGAGAAACTTTGAAGGAGCAAGAGAATAAAATAGTTATTAACTCCTGCAGAGACCTCTCCCCCCCACCCCACCCCACCCCACCCCAGTACATACAACATACACAGTGGTGACGGATGTAGATTTTGCAAACAGAAATCTGGGGAAGCTAGGAGGGCTGGGGACGGTACTCCAGGGCGCGCTCTTCTAAAGCTGAGCGGTGGGCGCGGCAGCTCCAGTCCCCTCTTCGTGGAGCCTGAACCCCTGGGGGGCATGGGGGCTCACAGTTCTCTTGGGGACACCCGCACAGGCCAGGCCCCTAGGCCCCCCACGCGTGCACTGGGCCTAAACCGCGAGCTTGAGGCATCCGAAATGAGGCGGCGGCACGGTGTGGGCAGCGGAGTTCCTGAGCTGAGTGTGCGATGGGCCCTACCGAGTTTAGGACCCTTGCCGTCGGCTCAGAGCTCTGAGAGATCAGAGCAGCCGCAAAGCCCAGACAGTTCACTTTTGTTTCTCAAAGTCGCGACACACCCCTCGCCCCCCCCGCCGCCACTTTCCCTCCTCTACCCGTTCCGTCTACCCTTTGCGTTCCCTCTGAGGACCCCTCTCCTCTGGTGGGGTCCCAGTCTCCACCCCCTTGTTCCTCCCCTTTTCCATCCTTCTCCACAGTTCGGCTCTCTCCCTTCTTCCTTTTTCTCCACCTGGAGACTTCCAGTGTCTCTCTCTTTCTCCCCGCTTTTGGATTCCTCTGTCTGCCCGGGTGGCCCCAAGGCCGATGCGTGGGTGGCTCTTGCTGCAGATTCATGGCTGGTGGCTGAGGCCAGCAAGGGAAGAGAAGGGAGCGAGAAGGTGGCATCATTTTATAGAACAAAGGAAAGCACAAAATCGCAGCTTCAGGGTCCCCAGGAAGCTCAGCCCCCTCCCCCAGGAGCCTCAGCCTGGGGAGTCAGCAAGCAGGTCCCTCAGCACTCCCCCACCCCACCCCCGCCTTTCTCCTTTTTGCTTTCTTATCCCTAAAAGGAGAAAGAACAAGTTAACCCATCTCCTCTCTGCTCTCACCTCCCTTCCCCTCCCTGGCTTTGGGAGAGCTGCTGAGCTTTTCACCTGCCACTCGGAGTGGAGTTCTTCTTCGACTCTTCTGCATAGAACAAGAATTACAATTTTAATTAAAAAACACTTATAGACAATTATTTCATTTTAGTGCCCGTCCTGTTTCCTCTCCTTCCCCAAGGGCCTTCAGCAAGTTGCTTTGGTCCCTGGAGGCTTCTAGTGAGGTCTCTGGCTTCCAACTAGTGACTCACAGGCCAGGGAGGAGGCAGGTGACCTCTATGAGAACAACTGGCCCCGTCTGGGAGAAGGTGGAAGGGACTTCTGGGGTCATGGAGAACAGCTGGAGGTAGGGGTACTGAAGGGAATCTCATGCTCAGGCCTGCACAAAGCAATATCCAAGTTAGCTCAGAGCAGAGGAGAAAAAGAAAAAACCTCTCACCAAGCTCCTGTGAGTCTGGTGGTCAGGTGTGGCAAAGATGAGGGAAGTCACTCTGGAACTGGACGTGTGCTCATATCCATGCTTGCGGTTGGCCTAACTCTGAGCCAGAATCTGTTCGTAAGAAGCAGCATTTAGCGGCCCTTTCTAGTTTACAGCCTTTTGCATACACCATCTCTATTACTCCTTACTTTCAGAGGTCCAGCCTCATTTTGAAGAGCCACATACAGGCTTGGCCACATACATTACTTGCCGAGGGCCAGTAATCAGAGCACAAGACTGTAAGCTCCCCCTAGGGTCAGGGCCCTCCTCTTTCTTTTTCTTCCTCCTTCTCTCCCTCCCTCTCCTGTCTCTCCTTCTCTCACTCCCTTCTTTCTTCTCTTTCCCTCCCTTCCTTCTTTCCTTCCTTTTGTGTTCAAAGTGTCTGGCTCACGTTAATGGAACTCTTTAGCCTATTTGCTTCCACATCTGCCAACTCCTATTTCCAGGCCTCTTTCTACTACACCAGCTGCTGAGGATTTACTTGGTGCCTTCATCAAGAGGTCTGAATTTCTCCCTTCTTCCTGTTTTCTTTCCTGCCAGTACCCAACTCCTTCCCCCTACTTCCCTCTAGAACGACATCTTTAAACCTCCTTACCCTCTTTACCTTACACTTTCTAAAAAAATCTTTTTAATTGAGGAGTAACATTCATATAGTAAATATGTATATGGTAAAGTACACAAAGCTTAAGTATACTGTCAATGAATTTTTACACACATACACACGCACACACGCACGCATGCACGCACGCGTGCGCACACACTTCTTGAATTGTTCCAGTGAAACTCTTTCAACTTCTCCTCTTGGGCCACGTCATGACACAATGGCTTTCTCCTGTTTGAAAAGAAGTGGTGTCATATTGGTGTGATGTTTTTTTCACAGAAAACCACTCCAGGAAGTCCTTCTGAGGCTTCTTGAAAGCATTAGAAATCAGGTATCTTCCGATCTCCTGCAGTCCTGAGTTTAAGTGACTTAAATCAAACACCTGATCAGAGCTGTCTACTAAGTCAGGGTTTCTCAAGATACAAATGAAAACCACCTGCTACAGATTCACTTGGGAACTAGTCGAAATGCAGATTCCTAAACCTCAGCCCCACCTGATGTATCAGAAACTCTGGGGGTGGGGTTCAGGAGTGTGCATTACTAACAAGTTTCCCAAGTGATTCTTATCCACACTAACATTTGAGAACTACTGTACTGAATGGCAAACTCCCAAGACACTGCAACTTCCAGCATCTGGCCTGGGACCTGGCGTTTGGTAGGAATACAATGCATGTTTGTTAAACAAATTAATCCACATTTTCTGACACAAGTTTCTTGGATCACATAATACCATTGTAATTTAACACCATTTCTACATTGGGAAATCCTTACATATCAGAGTCTTCTTACTTTAATAGGTTTCACTTTGATGAAGCAGGAGAGGAAGATGGATAGATTTTGGTGGTTTCTCAGGTCTAAGGGAAGGTCTTTTATCACCCTAACTGGGACCATCTTGCTGGACCAGATGCTCCCCTTTAGACCTGGGAGTTTGG